TAAAAGCTCCGAGCCTGCGACGGGGCAGATGGACTGTCACGCATTGATATGGACGGCACCGAATCATCATTGAACACGCGGACATCAAAATCAAGCTCTACGGAACCTGTGGACAGATTCGGTGTGTGCTATTCGAGCTGCGTACCGGATTTAGATCGAATCGATGGATACTTCGAATTTCGTGCGATGGAGGAGGCCATGCGGCGGGGAAACGGAGGGTAGCATTTTAAAGTATTGAAAGGAGTAGAGAGACCAGAAAAAGAACCAATGTATTTGACCAGTTGCGTGGCAGAATTCAATTTGTTTGTGGACGGTGGGACCTTTTAAAAGTAGCCGTTGTGATGCAGCTGTTGGCAGGAGGGATATGCATCTTACCTTGTAGCTGGCAAAATAATGGTAAGTTTTAATAATGAAAATAATTCAATTAATTATAAAATGAATTTTTTTTTCATAGTAATTTTCAAAGCGAAAGTGGAAATTTGAAAATTTTATATTGTTGATATAAATTGATGGATCATCAACCTATTTAATCAATCATTTAAAGTATAAGTAAAAACTTTCTAATATTATTTGAAGGGATATATATTGTCCAATCTTATATGTTTTTATGAGTTTTTTTTTTTTGGGACCGTTAGGGATCGAATATGGGAGCCAGGGGAGGAATTTTTTCGCTCAACCACTAAGCTGCCCTGCTCGTCCCAAAAAGAGCAACCCAATGAGAAAAATTCAATATACTCAGAATTGTCTAAATCGGATGGAATTTTTGCACTTAAATACCTAAGTAATTTTATATGATTAATGGGTTCAACACAAACAATTTTATGAAGTTCTTAAGGAATTTGGCTAAAACAATTAAAGAATCACACCTAAAATTTATAATGGACCCTCATCCTCCATATGAAAGGGCTATTGACTTTAAGTTAGAGAGAGTTTTAGCAGATGATCAATATACACAATCACTATAATTAAAATTGCTCAAATGCTATCATTTGGTTGCCATCACATTATGCAAAATAAGTTCGATACATGACATCACAATAAGGACAATTGCATGCACGAAAGCCAAGCCTACTAACTTCATCATTCATTGTTATGTCAATACCTGCAATCATCAATATGCTCAACAAATATTATTGGCATTCATACATGCACAAATTAACTTTATTGCTACCATCGCCTACCAGACGAGCTCAATTCTACACTAGTAAGATTAGTGCACTGAGCACCCGTCGTCGATATAAATCTTGATCCATGTTGTGGCCAATAAGACTAACATGCACTGCCCACACTGACATCAACAAACACCATCACTAATAACATAAACTCCAGCTAATACCAACAAAATGTATGCATGTCATTAACAATAACGTTAACACACCATATCGCCCGGCCATGTCAATAATAATGTTACTACATGCTAGTGATAATTAAACTGACTCATATTGTCGCCAATAGAGTAGATTCAAACAATCGAAACTAACATCAATAAACACAATATCATTACTAATTGGGAAAAATCTCTACATAAATTAATAAAACTTTGATAATTTGATCTGACAGTTAAAATTAAACTATTTCTAGTTGCTATTTTTTTTTTTTTTTTGGGAAATTTTGGATCATAAAGCCCTCTAGTTGCTATTATTGAAGAACAATAAAAAAGTATTTTGTTTCCATTTATTTTTAGTACAATTTTTTTTAATTAAATTTTTTTCTTATTTAAAAAACTGCTTTGAAACGAAGCATAATTAGCAGCCTTACACACGCTTCTTTTTTAATTACAAATTATCCCCCGTGAGAGGGACTAATAATGGGTGGCTGATACGTCAAAAGGCTTCGTTGTGTGGACTGCTTTGATAGGTGGGGGTCAGTAATCTTTGAGGCTCTTTGTACTTTGTGAAGAAATGGTCGTTGGAGGATTTTTTCTTTTTTTGGAAAATTAGTTGAAGAGTCATTAAATGCAAAAAAAAATAAAAAAAATCACAAGATAAAATTAAAATATTACTCAAAATATCATAAAAATATAGAGTTGCATATAAAAAATTCAATGCTCAACAAAGTATTTAGCCTATCTCCGATTTACATAAACGGCGGCTGTCCAGCCGAACGGCAAATCGAATGCTGTTTTTGTGTTTTGAACAATGCGACACCAATTTTGGGACACTGCTCACAACGGAAAGAACCCAAAATGCGCTTATGTTTGACATTTGGGTGAAGACTCATGAAAATTGCTTAACAAAGTATTTAGACCATCTCCAGTCAAACAATATTCTCAAATTTAAATTAGTGGAGAGCGTCCAAACGAAGGACAAACCGAATGTCATTTTCGTGTTTTGAACAATACGGCATCAATATCGGGGTTGCACTGCTCACAACGGAGAGAAAAAGCAAAATGCATTTTTGTTTGTCGTTCGAGTGAAAACACATGACAACTATAAATGGAGGATAGACGAATTATGTTAGGTTGGTTATTGACAAAATTAGCACTATAAAATCATATTATATAAATATTCTATTCCTAAAATGATATTTAAGGCAAGAGAGGTCTTTCATGTCATGATAGAGATTGATATAATCAAAATTATACTATATTTTAATAAACAAAGTGATTTTTTAGCTAAAAAATTTGAAGTTATGAGCGAAAATTAAATAATATAATAATTATTTAATTGCAAGCCTTAAAAGTGTTGAACTATAAAAAATAAGAATTTTAATTTTCAGACATAAGACGTAATGATTTAGAATACTCCAACAATAAATTGGATTCTTCATACTATAAAAAATATGGATTATAATAAATAGAAAATAAGCGTATTTTATTTGCAGCAAATAAAATGACACATTAATATGTTGATTTTATTATAACAAAAATAAAAAATTATTATCATATTACATGAGATATGTTACATGAGTCATTTTTATTTATTATATCCTATTAAAAAAATTAAATTCTCATTTAAATATAATAAAAAAAATCAATTTTAACACTTTCTAATATAGGCTTCGTTTGGGACAGCTTTTTTACTGCTTCTTAAAGCAGCTTTCTAGTACAATAAATAAAATTTTTATACTAAAAAGCTGCTTTAAGAAGCAATGAGAAAGTCGTCCCTTAGACTTCGTTTGGGATGGTTATTTTACTGCTTCTTAAAGTAGTTTTATAATAACAAAATTAAAATTTGGTACTAGAAAGCTGCTTTAAGAAGCAATAGAAAAGCCATCTCAAACAAAGTCATAATCTTTTTAGATCTACTTCTATCATTTTGAATATAGGCCGGAACTAATAAATCTACTATCCTAATTTCACTTGCCTTAACATTCTAATCGACAATGAAACTTTATCTCCCTATAGAACGATAGTGACCTTCACTTGACTTAGCAATACAATCCATAAACACAAAATGTTAAGTGTTGAGGCTTATGGTTGGCGCTTTGCGCAAGCAAGCCATATGATCCTGTAGTTCTATTAGCATTGGCATTCAGATCAGTAGAAAATTTGATGTTGCATTTAATATTGTTGTTTTCTTGTTGATAGAGTTGGTGATATATCTCTTTCAACGTCAAAATTTTTATGATTTACGCTCTTACTTGAAATAGCTTTTTTCCTGCTTTCTAAAGCATTTTTTTAGTACAAAATTTTCTTGAACTTAGAAATTTTCATGCTAGAAAGCTACTTAAAAAAAACAGTAAGAAAGTTATCATAAACGAAACTTTAATAAGGTAATTAAGCCGTGTCTTTTAAATGCATTAATGTTGTGCATGAGCTTTGAGATGTAGTATGTGGGTTTACATTAAAAAGAAGAAGAAGAAATGGCCATTGGAAGGAAAAGTTAGTGTCCGGAAACGGTACCGAGCGGTACCGACTTGTATTGCTGTCGGTACTGAGCGCCTAATGATGTGACGTATTTGTATTGGTCTCTGGACACGTTCGGTGTCCGGACACAATAATCACTCCATTGGAAGATGGCTACATAGCTGTAGGTTGTTGCTGCTTGCAGGATTGAGAGGATTTGTTTGTTGGGAGATCTCATTCTTCACTCTTCAAAGGTTACTTTCATGTCATGTTGTACACTAATTAATTAAACAAAAAGCTAGGAGGCCTGCCTTTCCTTCTCAACATATTCCTGCAGCTTTCTTGATGTTTTAAGGAATTCAATTATGAGGGGCTTTCTTCTTATGGATATGAAAATAGTATTTGGAGAATAATTTGTTTATCACTATCATAATATTGGGGATTAGAGCTATCAATTAACTAAAAGAGGTCATTAACATCATTAAAATGAAGGGTGAGTGTAGACGCTTTTTGAGTGTGTGAATGGTCAGCAGTGCCTTTTTTTATTTTTTTAATAATAATTATTATTTTAAATATGTTGTTATTTGAAATGAATATATATTTTTATTTTTATTATGACTTGCTATTTAAAAAAACAAAAAAATTCTTAAAAACTTCTACATTAAGATTTTTTTTTTTACATGACCACCACTCGAACCCGACTTCTAATGATTTTCAAAAAGAAAATTCAATCACTACACCATGCATTTACACATTCTAAATTAAGGCTTCGTTTGAAATGATTTTCTTATTGTTTTTTAAAACAGCTCTTTAGTTAAAAAATTTTAATTTTTATACTAAAGAATTACTTTAAGAAACAGTAATAAATCAACCGCAATCGAAGCCTAAGACTCAAGAAAAATTGTACTAAAAAAATATTTTAAAAAATACAAAGCCTAAGGCTCAAGAAATTTTTGTACTTAAAAAATGATCTTAAAAATATTAATAAAATTTTCTAAAAAAAAAAAACTTAAAAAAATTAAAAAAAAAAAAAAAAAAAAAAAAAAAAAACCTAAGAACACCCAATGGAATTGAGAAAAGTACAGTAATGAAGTAGTGGTCCTTCACTGCTGCTCGGATCATTTATTTTTTTTTTAAACAACAAACCATCTAAAATTTGTCTACAATGTTTCGAATAGTGAACAATAAAAAGAAAAAATAGTAACATAAGATGGATTCCAACACCAGTCCACAGTAGCTTTAATAATAGAAATTGTCACTGTACACCTCATCTAACAAAAAGATGATTTCTTCTAGCACCATAAGAGCAAAAGTAATTTACTGACCTTACATCAGAGCCTATAATAATGCAGAAAAATTATTAAGTGCGGAGTGCGCACCGTCCGCACAAGTACTGAGTACCCAACGGTATCCAGCAGTACCGAGTGCCGGTACCCCATGCTTGTGCGGACGGTTCTCCCCGTCCGCACTCCTCACCTATATGCAACCATTATCTTCTACTGGAGCATAATAGAGTTATCTCTCCCTAACAAGCCCAACGTCAGTTACAGTGCCACAAATGGCTCAACATTCTGCAGCGTTTCTTGAAATGAATTGGTTACAGATCTTACTGAGGGAATACAGAATCAGAAGATGAAAATATTATGCCACAAAAAGAAAAAAAAAATCAAATGCACCCTTAGATAAGGATATTCACTGACATGGGGGACTTTCAAACAATAACAAATGAGATAAAATTAGTCATGACCTCTTGTCAAATTTTCTCTCACTGGACTTCTTCTCCTCGGCTTCTCTTCTCTTCAGTTGCCTGCAAGTAGAATTTCCATCAGAAAAGAGAGGAAATGGGAGTCACAACAATAGTGATGATGCTACGTGTTAATTTTGACAAAAATTCTTTGGTCATAGTGAGCTGAGAGTTGTAGATCTGAAAGCAGCCATGCGTCTTGGTTAATTTTCTAAGCCTTTGGTTAATGGTCAGTTTGGGACAACTTTCTATCTGTTTTGTTTTTCAAATAATAATTATAATTTTATTTGGCTGATAGTATTTTCTCACAGTTTTTTAGAATTTTTTGTGGTGAAAATTTATTTTTTGTGACAAGAATAGTTGAATTGCTTTTCCCATAATAACTTCATAACCAACTTCATAAAACACTACAGCGGTCCCAAAAACAGGTTCTAAATCTTTCAGAAGCAATGCCATAGAACAGGACAATTTTATATTTATTTGGCAATCTCTTTCGCAAAACTATATCAGTCACAGAAGAAACCCTATAATATCCCAAATTAATAAAACAACATGCTGAAAATTCTCACCAAATCAAAAGATTGGATGAACAAGCCTAATCAAGTTCAACACACACAAGCCCAAAACGATCAAAGTTACCAACTAGATTAAAATCTGACATGCTTATTGGAGTGAAGTTTAAACTATACTAAAGTTCAGTGGAACCATGCAAAGGACTGATAGGAAACACTTGAAGATCTCAAGTGAAAACCTATCAATCTTGGAAAAATGGCGATAAAAATCCACCAAACTCCGAGAAAAAACCAGAAAACAGCAATTTTATTGCAATAGTCAAATATAACGGAAGGAAAATACCAAAATACAGTTGGTCCTCAATTCGAGAGGAGGATCTATCTCTCCCTATCCCTAGACTCTGCTAGAGTCCAAGACTCCAAGTACCAAAAACAACAATTTTCCCTTCCATTAACCCTAACTCTCCCTTCTTATTTACAGCATACAATTAAATAACACAAACCAAATCCCTCTACGGCCCTAGCCGCCCGCTCCTTCCTAATGGGATTCCCTAGTGGGCCCCCCAATTTGCCTTGGGCGGCAATTCCCAAGGTGCAGACCTGCTTGGTCCGCCTCATGTAAACCTGAGACGGCCCTTTGCCTAGGACCGGCTAGACCGGTCTAACAAGGACCTGAGAGTTCAAGCCATGAAGGAAGATGAGCTGATAAATGAACATTCAACCACCATATTTGGCCAAAAAAAGAGCTTCATACTTGAAAAAATGAGCAGCATTTAAGTAGATGAAAGTTAAATAAAGTCTTTAGGTAGGTTATATGCATTAACTTGTCTACAAGAACATCAATTTGTCAAAAAGACTACAGGTTAATAGGTTGTCAAGTGGGATTCAGTTATCTAAAGTTAAAAACTAATAATAAAAATAATACAAAGAAAGTAAATTGGGACTTATCGGAGTTAATTTGTTTTATGGGAATAAAAGTTAATCTCAAGTAATCTATTAGTACGTTGGATTAAAAAAATTATACGTATTACATGCTTAGTAGTTGGGCCATTTATCACAATCCATAATACTTAATCAACTATAAAGACAATTAATATACTATTAATGTTTGCTGGATGAATGAGCAATCAATTAAGGTGTTTATTAGGGTTAACTACTTTGTGATTAGAGAAATTTTTAATAAATAATTATTTGACGACTGACTAAGAATATAAAAGTTCCAATTATGTTCTTAAATAGCCAATTAGTGATTAAACAATAATTAGGTTACAAAACAAATCATGAATTCCGGAAACTTTTTTATAATAAGCTCACTAATACTTGTTTAATAAGAGTGGACTTCATACATTGAGACCTGAAGTTTTCAAAAGAAAGTGTTTTTTATGAACAGATTTTACTTTATGATCGGAACTCCATGTAACTCGGGGATTCAAGGCTACCTATTGGCATAAAATCTCCACATTAATTACTCATTGATACCGGAAGAGGACTCTCAATTAATAAGATTGCTCAACTTTGCTCTTTATGTAGTACTTGTGCAAATGACATTAATTACGTGTCCAATTATATTGCTTCTGAATCAGGAGCAGGAAAGGTATAAACCTTATGAAGATTGCACAGTACTATACTCTAGAATTTAATCGGGTGGCACCTAATCAAAAAAGTCAAGGAGCCTTAATAGGAACAATATAAGTTCAACTCAAAGAGCTTGTGGGACTATTATAGCATTTGAGTTAGTGAGTCTAAGCTGAGATTGATGGGTACCACATTAGGAGTCATGGGTTTCAATTTCATAAGGACTGAACCAAAGGGTGAATTTCATGAAAAATCTTTAGTTTTATTTACTGGCAAGTGGTGAAGGGCTTAAAATAGAAGGAAAATGCTTAAATATGGTCATTTAAATCAGAATTGGGAACCAATTAGGTCGAGTTGAGGTTCTCAACGATATTGCAGAATCAACCAAATTAATATTTAACCACTAGGTAAATCAAGGGATTTTCATAATTTGTTACAATTTTGAAATGCGACAATAAAATTTATAAATATCATATTAAGTAATTTTTAGACATATTGACCAATTTTCTAAATCCTCCTTTGGAGAATATTAAAAAATAAAATCCTCCTTTGGAGGCCTTAGAGTTTTACAAATCAAAACGTAAAGTTTATATTAATTTTGAGTACATTCAGTCATGCTGATTACCTCGAGGACACTCTTAACAATTCCAGCTTTATGATAGTTCATTGATGCCTTTGCATGCATATTGGTGCATTTAAAAACTTCTGTTGCATCATCACTCTTCTTGGTGTGCTAAAACATCTTTTGAGATAATACACTAAAGCTAATTTTAAACTAATCATGGATTAGCCATAGGTCTAAGGAGTAAATCTAATGTTCTTCAGAGTTCATTGATGCCTTTAAATGCCTATTGGTGCATTTAAAAACTTTTGTTGCATCATCACTCTTTTTTGTGTGCTAAAACATCTTTTGAGGTGATGCATCAAAGCTGATCTTGAACTGATCGTGTAGAAAAATCTTCTTGGCCATTGGTCAAAGGATTCAATCTACTTTAAAAGTTTTTTTTTTTTCCAATTTTCTTATGAAGAACCTACAAATATTCAAATAATGAGAAAAATAAAACTTTATCAACTCATCCCAACAAAAAGCATTCTATAATTTTAGAGATTTTTTTAGAATTCTTGTTTTTCCCTTCTAAGTTCTAACCCTTTTGCCACTTAAGCCGACGTTTGGTTGTGGATTTCTAACATTTTCTTCCATTGAGGAAATCCTGTCCTCCACTGTTATCTTGATTTGGTTCATCTCCCCCCTTCAAGTCTTTCTTCCAGCCCATCCACTTTCTTGACCTCCATCTCTATCCAGATTTTTATAGATTCAAAAAAATCTGGATTTGGAGCACAAAAACAGCAACTTTCTCCTTCACCAGCCAAAATTCAGTGGCTGAAATTTGTCAAAATCAGCCCACCAACGGTCCCAAGACTTGCTCTGATACCAATTTGATTGGAAATACTTGAGTTCGCAAGCAACCCTAGCAATAATTGGTAAAAACAACGAGAATAATGCAAAAATCTGGATGAAATCAATCCAAAAAGATAGATTGTAATAAGGTAATCAAAATAAAGCAAACACAAAGCAAGATATAATTGATCCTTAATTCGAGAGGAGGATCGTTCTCTCCCAAGCTCTAGACGATGAGTCTAGAGCCCAAGACGCCAAGGAAAACTCCAAGAGAACAACTCAAAGCATGCATGCCATAACCCTAATCTCCCTCTTCTTTTAAATAGATAACTTCCTAATAAAAAACCTTCCTAGAATAAACCAAATTCAAAAGAGTTTCCCAATGTGCTAGCCGCCCCCTTCCTTTTCTCTAATTTCCGCCCTAGGGGGGGCCACAAGCCTTGGCGGCTTGTTTAAGAAGGCGGCTTAGCCCGCCTCCTGTAGAGTTGAACCGGCCCAGGCGGGGCCGGTTTGAATGGTTTAGGAAGAACCGTATCAGCAATTCAAATTTGAGCCTCAGAGAATATTTCGATCATTTTGATTCCCTTAATGACACTCATAACAATTTAGATTCTGAATATTCATTGATGTCTTAGCATACCGCATACATATTAGTGAATTTAAAGACTTTTGCTGCATTGTCTCTCTTTAGTGAACTAAAAAAAAAATTTAGGCAATACACCAAAGCTGATTCTATACAAATAATATTCCATTTTTTTTGTAATTTTTACCATCTTTTGACTTCTAAGAAAATTTAAATATTTAAATAAATGGAAGATCTTTCTAAATCCTAGTTCCCATTAACATAGTCAACCATATAAAACAAACTTTACTCATATATCCCTCTAAAATATTTATAATATTTAGCATGTGAAACCTAACAGTGAATCGAACTTGGCAAGTCAATTCATTAGATCCATTTGACTCAATGTGTCAACGTATCATTAGTCCAAAGTTTATGTTTAATTAATTTAAATTATTTTCCTTGTCAAAAATTGTTTTACTAGCCATTGGTTCCCAAGGACCTAAGATGGCAAATGGTGATTGATTGTAGGTAGGATTAAGCCAAGTGGGTTATGCCTGATATCTCATGGGACCTAATTTTGAGTCAAGGGCTAACAACATCTCATATTTCCAACTATTCGCTATGATGTTGACAACAAACAATGCGTTTAAAGTTTCGGGTTGATGAAAATCTTAGCAACCCTTTTTTCTAAAAATGTCAATGCTAAGCATACAACTTAGACAATTTATAGTGAGCCCCTCTTAGTTGGTGCTAGGAATATACTAATGAGTTCATCAATCGGTGAATTCCATATCAAAATAGATAAAAAGGGGGAGAGATCATCAATTGATGTGGAATAACAATTAGATATCCCTGTGGTGGTAGAACTTCTGAGTTATTTGGACCAAGCTTAAATAAAATGTTGTATCGTTTGTATTTCCTTTCTTATTAGGACGTTCATTATTTCTTCCTTGTTTTCCCCATTGTAATCCTCTATATATTGGACCAAGCTTTGGCCAAATAGGAGCATTGAGTATTTCTCTTTTTCTTATAATCGATTTCTCTTCTAGCCGATCTGAGATAAAGACTTCTTGTTATAATCTTTTTCTCTTCTACTTCTTTTTTTACAGGCAGATAGAAGTTGAGATTAATGAAATGATAGGTAGAAGGCTGAGCGATGCCTGGAATTACAATTAAGAATTTAATATATAACAACTACATCATTCTCTTCTCAATTATAGAAACAACTTCAAGTTTTATTTTTTGCGAAGAGCGTCCACCATCATAGTGAGTCAATGCTAGTGGACAGTCAATACTGAAGCTTATACACGAAGCAATCCACTCAAATGCTAATTATAACGTAGCCCAAGAATGAAAATATAATCGAAAGAAACAAAGGGAGAAATTCTATTGATCAGAAGAAAAACTTACATGACATAAGCTTGGATTCATTCGCCAAAAGATTTATGACTCTCACCCATTATATTGAGGAATGAAGATGATGGAATATATGCTAATTAAGAATTATAAAAAAAAGTAATTGGTGGACTGATAGAAGGTGGTTAGGATAATAAAGTGGTTGATGGGAGTGCAAGTAATGGTAGGAAATGAATTAATAAGCTACTACAAAATAGCAACATCAGAGGGTAGCAAGTTTGAAATTACTTCTAGGTTGCTTGAAAATTAAATATAGGTATGTATATGAATATTTTCTTTCATATTTGTGTGTGCACCCTCATGAGCATGTGTAAGCATAAGAATATACTGTACAAATCAAGATTACGTTCCGGATCAGATTTGTGCAAAAGAGTTCAAATAATCATAACATTTCAAACAAACTCATAAAGAAACCAAGATAACTCAATTATTTAAGTTTAAGGAGAGGTTGCTCAACTGCTCAAGTAAAAAGTTTATTTAATTCCGCATAGGGTTTTGGAGGGCAGATATAGCTAAAAGATTTATTCAAGTCAAAGTATGAGTTACTGTAGGACCGACGCTAAAAAACTTCAAGTAATATTTGAGGTTGCCCTGCTTAAAAACACTAGCTACACTCTTGTACTTATGTAATCTCTGTAAGAGACAAATGAGTTGCAATAAACTAAGACCTTGACAATACAATACGGATTAGTACATTATTAAAGAACGCTGGATAATCAACTTGATTAATATTATAGAGGAAAATAGAGAATATCACTCAGAATAAAATGCTAACGGTTACCTTAACAAGCTGAGGACTATAAAGACTAACACGACTTTGAAATACAGATAATGCATAACTGGTGCATAAATGAACTCTAAATGCCGAAAATATCAATCAATCAGAGTGTATGGAAAGACTTACGCAAAAGCACTATATCCAGTACCAGCATTGGCAGCAGATAAATGACTTGCATGCACACTGGCGCTAGGAGGATTATCATGCCCTCCAGAAGGCAATGGAATTTTAGCATCACCATCAACCTAAGACAATGAAGTTGACAAGCAAATACAATATTATCAGTATACATTTTAATAATTAAGAATTACATAATAAAAGTGCCTGCGGTAGAGTACCTTGTCCCACTTTGACTTCTTATTTGTACGGATGTCCCTTGAAGCATCCCCAGTTGTGGAATTTGGCGGCAAAGAACAACCGAGAATAGATGAAATGCCTGCAGCTGTAATACAATGATAGACAGGTGGCATAATATCAGTAAGAGTTGCCTGTGGAACTTGAATATTTCCATTAAGGAAAGATGCCAACTATTATACCCGGGATATGTGCATTAGTCTTCAAAGCTTGAGCAACTCCACCAGGTTGTGTACATCCAGAAGCTAAATCAATTTTCTGATTCTTTTTTCTTTCCTGTTCCCTCCTCTCCAGCTCACGCTTCAAATCAGCCTCTTTTACAAGAAACGTAGAAGCATTTCAGAAGTGAATAACTAATGGGCACAACAAGTTGCAAGAGCAATTTTCTCATTCCATTACATTTTGATTGAAAGAAGATGGATAAAACAAGATTAGACGAACTATACTCAAAATTAGCTCAAACTTATCAAAATAGCAGTCTTTATTTGAACTAAAAAAATGGCAAATTAATATTTGCTAACAGCACTTTTCATATTACACTTGAAAAGCAACTTAAATTCCATAGACAAACCGTAGGCATACAATAAAACTAAGTATTGAGTTAGTGATCTAGTTATTAGAGTCCTGCATCAGGAAGAAAATAGAAATGTGGGAGTCCTCAAGCATAAACATCGTAGAACAGCAGGACAGCACAATGTGTATAAATGGATTTTTTTGGTCCTTTGTAAATATGATTTTAAGAATCCATGTGGCTAAGTATCTGACATCATCATTAAAGCCTTTTAGAAGGGTTCACAATTTGCTTAACATTATATTTGGGCTTCATGAGTGTGCAATATAACACCTATATGAAAACACAAATTGATGTGAAGTAAAAACATAAACAAAACTCTATGAAGCACAAAACCTACAACAAGTTGATTGAATATTTAAAGAGAATGAGTTTAACTTTATATGAGATTCAGTTGAGATAATTTAGTTTGAATGGTATAGATTATGTCGAATTTATACTTAAAAGGTCTATGTATTATGCCTAAAGAGGTATTCAACAAGTGCTCGAGAGCTCCTAAAATTATTTGAATAATTAAAAAAAAAAGGAAGCCACATGGAATGAAGATTTTTCAAAGTGAAATGTAATGCATGCGTGTTTAATTTTTTCTTCAATAAGCAAAGCGCAAAGTTAAGCGGTACATTCAATGAGCAAAGAATGAGCAAAGTACAAAGCAAAGCGGCACTTTCATTGACTAGAGCATTCTTGAGTTGCATATTATATATGTATATATTATGTGCATACAATAATTATATAATTAATCAGATTTGAACCACATCAAGTAATTTTAGCAAATACAAAGTAATTCTCAACTATTCATAAGCCAAAAAAAGGTATAAATGATATACATAATAAAATGATGTAAGAATATTTTAAAATCAAGAATACACTCATTAAATTAAGTGACTAATTAGAGATCGAGAGAGAGTTATAGTGAAATGAGTGTGTGAAGATAAGACATCAAGAAGCATTCTCAAGAAAAGTTTGTGAGCGAGAGGTAAATAGCACAATCAACAAGAACTAGTAAAAACTTATCAGGGGAGTAAGTGTGATGAAAAGAACAAGAAATAACTAGTTCCAATTGGAGAAAAAGGACAACTAATGAACAATGACTCAACAAAAACAAGAAATATTGAGAAAAAAATAAAGGATTGTACTTATTATTATTATTGATGTTGAACCGGACTATGAAATCCATACATGGATTTCGCTCTAAGGAAAAGTTAGGTGCATGATGTTATGATGCAATATGACAAAACAAACCAACAAATGTGCTATAATCTTGCACTTAACAACGCAACGATGCATACGTCTAATCCATCACTTCGCTTCTCAAGCACACTATTAACAACATTGATGGAATGTGACATGATGTCATTGAGCACCCAAGCATTTGCGAGATGTCCAAGAATTACACAATGTCCCTCTATAAGTATCCTTATAAGTGGGACAAAAAAATTATAAAGGACAACAAGTGCTCTTATAAATGACACAGTTTTAAATAAGAATAAACGAGCATAAATGAAGTAATTTATGGCTCTATATGTCACAATTTCAAATGAAACCACAAAATTCTATTGAGAAAAGAAATATGAACTCATCTAAATGAATTGTATGATAATATTGGTTTTTTTTTAGGCATGATGACGTTTCATTAACTAAAATATAAATTAGTAGAATAGATTTGCAATTTAGTGTCAACTGCTAATAATGAAAGTATCTTTAAAAGAGCTACATAGATTTTGGTAGCATGCAATTAATTATAGAAATTTTAAGCAGAAAAGAATCATTGAAGTTTGATCCTAAATTATTATAATCCCGTACTACCATGCAATTCTATTTTCTTTTTAGCATTAAACTCACATATGAAGATGTCCATAGTTAATAAGAAAAACTCCCTTCAGGAATCAATTATCCAGGAATTAGCAAGGGCAGCTTGCCGACAGTGAGACCATAGGCAAGCCTTCGTTAAGGGGGAGAAGTAGGATCATCAAAATTTGACTATCTTTCTCAAATCAAAATTATGAAAGCACTTGTATGATTTGTTATCATGCTAATGCATGTCATTGTATGCCTGTCTTGCAAGTACAATATAATGGTCATTATCATTATTGCCTTTTTTTTTTGCTTTAGTCAAGAACGAACCTTTTTTATAGTGGATGCCTCGGATTGTATTTTTAATTATGCTTGAATATTGAAACTAACCATGGTGGTTGTTCTTTGTCCTCTCTCTAAGCCCCAAACACCCTCCCTTAATCCTCCTCTTGCCTACAAATTTGAGTATTTTATCCTTCTAGACATCACAATTTCATATGAAACCACAAAATTCTAATAAGAAAAGAAAATTGAACTCATCTAAATGAATTTTATGATAACATTAATTTTTTGTTAGGCATGATGATGTTTAATTAACTAAAATATAAATTGGTAGAATAGAATTGCAACTTACGTGTCAACTACTACTCATGAAAGTATCTTTAAAAGAGCTACATAGATTTTGGTATCATGCAATTAGTTATACAGTTTTTAAGGAGGAAAGAATCATAATGTAATGCACTAAAAGTTTGATCCTAAATTATTATAATCCTGTACTACCATGCAATTTAATTTTCTTTTTAGCATTAAAATCACATATGAAGATGTCCATAGTTAATAAGCAATACTCCCTTCAGGATGTACTCGTCCAGCACTTAGCAAGGGAAGCTTGCCCACAATGAGATGTAGGCAATTATGCTTGAATATTGAAACTAACCATGGCGGTTGCCCTTTGTCCTCTCTCTAAGCCTCAACCACCCTCCCTCAATCCTCCTCTTGCCTTCTTCTCCCACCCGCACCCCCACCCCCACC